TTTGTGAAAAAAAAATGATTTTAAAGTGTGACAAGTTCCGTTTGACTAAACTGCCCTCTCATAGGAAAACAAACGCGTGTGTGCACACGTAATCTAGAAAATCTATTAGCATAGGAGACTACCGGAATCCACATAAATTACATAGGTTTACGCTAAAACATGATAAGCACTTTGACTGATAAAATAATTCGAAAAAAGAACATATATGTAAAAAGGAAATTATTTGAAGTAAGCTGGGCGAGTAAGTGAAATTCGCATCATCTTAATTGTCCACAATTGATCGTTTCGATCTTAGACATCATGTATCATAAGTTAGGCCACATAATGGATATTTGTTAAGGTTGTATTCTGAACGTGAGCATATCCCTAGTTTCATATCACTGCCGTCTAATCATGTTTTTTTAGGGAATTGTAGATCAGTTTTAGTTGAGGCAAAAGTGCCAGATTTTGCATAGCTTAAGCGTAACAGTCGTAAGTTTTGATCGGCTGCAAGGAACATGAGCCTGGAAACGTAAAGGTAACTTAACAGTGCTATTTTACTTCGAAAGGCAAAGGAATATATACATAATATGTTTTAGGACTCTGTGAGGTTGAATGCTTGCTTTCAGATGCCAACTATCTACCAGAGACCTAACGCATTTATCATCGTTGTTAGAGTGTCCATTTTGGAGGAAGTGGGTGAATGCAAGAGCGCGATGACTAGTGTCCGTTCGGGTGACGCGTATGTTTTACTGATCATACAGCAAATACAGGAGGCCTTGACATCTTTCAACACGCCTAGATGCTTTGTTCGTATGCAAATAAGTTAGAACTATTAGTGACAGTCGTTTCCCAGAATGGCGAGTGGCAAGCTGCCAATAAACCTAATTCCCTCAAAACGCCGAACTTAAGAAAGACGTCTTTATTCCTCATCGATGTGCTGAAAGAGATGACATTTTTTCGCAACGATAATTGAAAAACGTCGCAGAAGCAGAAAGCAAGTCTGTTTCGGTTAAAGTGTGCGGAGAATCAGAACACACGGTAGATGCGGGGCAGTTGACTGAGAAACTTCTAAGTCATAAGAAGTAAGTGTGATCGCTGAAACAAGGAATTTTCGCCCAGACATTCTGGATTCTCACCCGGGCCCATTATCAGAGACAGTTTCAGAAAAGTGTAACGGATGCAAAAGGTTGTATAATTTGCTGGTTGTAGGTGCCACACCATTACATGTCTAATATATCTGGCCTTTCCCGCATTCATCGCTGGTGGTCATAATTGGTGCGATGATGGCCTGTTAGTCCGCACCCAAGTAGTTACTTACTGAAACGAAATCACCATTGCTGATTCATGGTGTAAGGAATACTCGACAAGTTGGTTCACTGTTGTTGGAATTATCGGTCGACCGCGTCCTCGCCTCATAAATGGGTACTTTGCCCACGCAAAGTGCCCACATGATAGGTAGGCGGGAGGTCATTGCGCTTGTTCATTGAATATAGGCTGGAGAACCACGACACTAGAATTTGACATCTTACAATGCAGACAACGCCCTAAACACGAGATCTACGAGGTCCTGGCCGGAAGCCGTACGTTTAATTATCCTGGGTCAGTTTACCCGCTCTGTCGCTTAGGTGCCTACCTTATGGCTGTACTAAAGCCTCAGGCTTGCTGTCGTGGGTCTGAACCCCACCGACGCCGCCGAACATTTTACTGTTTAGTCAACTGAATTATTCACATCTGCCAAGAAACTTGTTAATTAGGTTTGCCTATGAGCCATTTCGTCGGTCCTCTATTGATCACTAAGGAAATTGCAATTGGATATTCAGCTTAATTAATCTGATCTGGTGAATTCCATACTTTGCAGTAGGCTGTTCGGATAACCTGATCCGAATGCGATTTAACTCACGGCTTCCGGTCGGGGCCTAGGGGTTCTGGCGGTTGATGTGATGACTGTCCTCGAAGCCTGTCCCTGCTATCGTAAATTCGAATCCAATCAAAGTCGCCGGGCTATTCACTAGTAGTTTAATTGAATTATTTGAACAAGCCAAAGTATCTACCATTCGTTCGTCAGTTCCAATTATCTAGTCCGCTTGGCTGTTGTTCGCTTTTGGGAAGTTTGTCTGAATATGAGATGCTGTTGCTGCCGTAACTGTGATTTATTTGAAGACCAGCTATGTCCAGTATTTTCAAAGTGCAGAAGAAAATTCAAATCTATATTTCACTCAAACTTGCTTTCCACGTCTCTTTTCGACATTCGGGGAATATAAGGATCCCAGATTAGTTGGGCTCGAAGAAGACTGCAAAGGCACTGCTGTTGCGCACGCACTCTGAGAGAAATATCGGGTGGTTTTTTGTCTACTAGGAATGTGGAATGTGCTACGAGCTTAATTTATCAGAAAACATTTACCGTTTTCCTGTTTGCTTCCCTAATACTGCATTTCGACAAAGACATTCGTGAAGGACATGCATGTGGGGCGAGTAATAGGACGACATGTTGGAAACACATGGTTTCCTGTGTGATGTTAATGTATTGACAGCGGGTCAGCACCTGACCATTTGCTGACATACAATATATTCATGCGTCTTATCATGGACTTGAGGGAGTAGATCACTGATGAATCCTTGTCCAGTGCATCGATACGGATTTGTACTTTATATCTAAAAGACAAATTTTAATTCTAGTTTAGTCAAAATACGATTGGTTTGCAAACTGAGGGAAACCAGATGTTCTCTGTCCTGTTTGGGTTAAAAGCTTCCTGGCGATGCATACGAGCTCAGTAAGACCCTCCGTTGAAGAACTGCGTTCTGATAAAAAAAAACTTTCTTGTGCAACAAGCATGTAAATTAATGTAATAACCGAAATATTGGACACACACATCTTCCTGTGTAGTGTTAATATATCTACAGGGCGTTAGTACCTGACCCTTTGGTGATATATAAAAATTCTTGTGCCTCATCATCATTTTGAAAGAGTAAATCACTGATCAATCCTTGTCCAGTGCCTTGCTTGCGACTTACAATTTAAATCTGCAAAATCAATTATAGTTTCAGCTGGGTCAAAACACGTCTGGTTTGCTTATTGTGGAAAAGCAGAAGTTCATTTTCCAATCTGCGCCAAGAAATAATTCGAAGATGACTACGAATTCCCTAAAATGCTCTGATTAAAACAGTAAAAAATGCGTGAAATCCATAAGATGTCGAACTCGCTCACATATTTTTCACAAACCACCTATGCGGCTGTAGGAAATGAAAAAAGTTGAAAAAAGTCTACATCCAGCGAGCTTTTGAGTAAAACCCTCCGCAAGTTAGATAAAAACATTTCATTCTGAAAACGCATTGACGCAATCTGCAACGAATCTCGTAATCCCAGTCTATATATATAAATACGCCCGTCATGTGTCAATTTTCAATGTATCTGATGTCGGGCGCTATGGTCGTAATAACGTTAATTATTCTACTTGTGGTCGAAGTGTGCCCTTGCCGTAAGTCTCATGTTATATTTAAATAGCCTTTAGATACTTTTAAGGGTAGCCATGTTCCTCTAGATATCGTTTAGGAATTTTGATTTGTGCATTTCGAAAATTGATGCAGACTTAATTGGTGATGGTCATTATACAAGATGGGACCTTCATTAATAAAAAATAATGCTAACAATCGGCCTGGCTTTTTTCAAAATAGTCGTGTACTGTTTGTTGTAGCTAATCAAATTTAATCCATTTTGATCATTTTATAATTTACCTGAAAAAATCCTTCGAAAGACTTTAATGAAACAGTTTTACCGTGGCAAAATGTCGCCCAAATAAATATGATAGGACAATAACTACAAACGTCTGGTTTTCATAAGGAGGTTACAACCACATTTTGGAAGTGTGCACAAAATATATTATGAAGTATATGATTTGTGTTAATTTTACCGTGTGGAAAAAGTAAAGTATCAGCACAAGACATCATTAATTAGGTATTTTAATTTGCACATAAAATTCACAAAATGTATTGAAAAATCAAAGCATGAGACAAAATATGAAAGGTCAAATTTTTTCCTTGAAATGTGCCGCAAGATGAGAATAAAAGTCTTGAAAAACTTTTGGACACAACTTTGGATTTCAGAGCATACAGTCACCTAAACTAGAAATATTGAACAAAGCAGACTAAACAAAAGTATATGACTGAAAGAAAATACGTAAATACATCCAAAATTCCGGAAAATTTCGAGGGCAGTAATGCACAAAACTAAAGTCCGCGGCAAACTAACGTTCAAGTATATATGATAGTGTAGTAAAAATCAAAGATTTTATATGACAGTTAGCGAGAACACATAAATAAAGTTGAAATAAATAGGGAAGGAGGAGAGACATGATAGAGAGAAGTACGATTGCAAGTATCATTTGCAAGACGCAAGGTTGATGATGCAAAAGTAGAAAAGCTCAGATAAAAATTTAACTAAAAGAAACAAAAAATGTACCCAAAAATGGAAATAGTAAAAAAAGAAAAAAAACAGGAAAAATATAGAAGACGCACAGAAAAAAACAGATTCTGATTAAGATTGGCGATATATCCTACCTTAAGGCAATGACAAACCACTTGGCATGAGGCTGGACGTCTACAGCTCAGACACCATCAGAGTGGTCTGGGAATCTCCCAAGGACACTGGTCTCAAAATTGACAACTATAGGCTCAACATTTCCGGAGATCGAACAGAAAGCCTACTAGTGGGTACGACTTACAGGACGCTAATCGGCAACCTCACACCATCGACCACCTACGTGATCACTTTGGAGGCCAAATACGCCGGAATGGATTATTTCGGCAGGCCAGCAAATCGATCGGCAAGAACCTTCGCAGAAGGTGTCATTCTCTCATTCTTCCATTATTATGCCTCGCTTTCAAATCTATGCTAACGTAGCCTCATATGCCTACCTAACCATACAAATACATTGTCCACCGTTAGGTTTATGCAACAACACAAACTCCCCATGCCATGTCACTATACTATTGATTATTTTTGTTGCGTGCAAGGAACTGACATGCCGACAGATCTGCGTGCTGAGGTCATCAATGGTACCTCTGTTAACTTAAACTGGAATCCACCAAAGAACTGGAGTCTGGAGAGCAAATACTATTTTCTGAATGTTGGGGATAGCCAAGTGGAAATAGACTATAGGCGTTTCAATGGAACATACACAGTCGGCGGTCTACAACGCCTGACCAAATACGACATTTCTGTCAGCCTGGGCTACAAGAATCCCCTTTATTTGGCACCAGCTGCAACGACCAGCGTGATAACTCCACCCTCAGGTAGGTAAGCCCTTGTTATATTTTCTATCGTAGAGAACTTCACATGACTTGCCTAGCAGTCATGTTAAGTAAAACGTGGAGTAATGTGTGCCAGGGAACGCGATTCCCATCGAGATATCTGAGGTTTCGCCTGCGTTTGGAAAACATGCCTTAGTTTCCACCTTGTTATATTTACTATCGTAGATAACTTCACATGACTTACCTCGCAGGCATATGAAGTAAAACGTGGATAAATTTGCTGCCGTTATCGCGTCTTCTGGTTGAATTTTCTTTTGTTTTGCATTTTTCCCATTTTGCATTCCTTTCTCTTTTTGGTTTTTTTTCTGAGCTCTTTATTTGCTTCGTTTATATTCCTTTTTGAGAAAGACCATTCGGCGAGCTTACCGGTGCTTTTGAAAATTTCTCTTCGTGCATATGCTTTTTTAATGAATGGAGGTGCATACTGAAGATGTGGGTGATATGTGCACTGGACCATATTTCGTCCTTTCATACAAACGGGTTATTTGAACAGAGTGGGGAAGGGGTGGGTGGGAGGGGGCTCAGAGGTTGTAGTCAGTGGCAGTGAGGGTTAGGATGGGCCGTGTCACAAGGCGGGAAGTGAAAGATGTGGGGGCGCGGACACCTGCATGCAGTTAATCTATCCTGGCCCACGGTAGAGGCGGAGCGTGCAAAGGATTCTTCTGCGCGCACATGACCGGCCTCTGTAGCCTGATGGCAGTTGCCTCTGCTGTTGCTCCTTGATTATTCTAAGTTCTTCATCAACGCTATCTGCCGAACAAATTTTTCTACCCCTTTGCGCCAAACATCGGATCAGATTACATTTCTGTTAAAGGGGTACGAAACTGTAGAAGTTCGTATATTGTCCAGACCGGGTGTCCTTTCGATAAAAGCTTCCTTGAATGCTGTCGTCAGCTCTTCTGCTTAGAAGTGCATCTAGGAAAGACAGAAAGCCTGCCTTTTCCATCTCAAACGTAAACTTGATCGACGAATCTTCTTGAATTACAGCATCCAACAGGGCGGTTTTGTCGATTTCTCTGATGGCAATTGCAAAGATGTCGTCAAAGTAGCGACCGTAGTGCCTTAGTTTATTGATTTGGTCCTTTAACTGACACTTCTCCATCTTGCCCATGAAGACATCGGCAATGAGAGGACCAATATGCGATCCCATCTATTTGTCTATAAATTTGGTTGTCAAAAAGGAACTGCACATATTGTGCGCATTTTATTAATAGTTCATTGAGTGCACTCGTCGGAATACCTATTTCATGGTGACTGGTTGACAAGAATTCGCATATGCACTCAACTGTCTCCGTGACCGAAACGTTTGTGAAGAGTGATGAGACATCAAGTGAAAACATCCCCATACCGTTTAAGTCTGGGTCTTTAACATCCTCGATGTATTCGAAGGTGTCCCGGTAGCTATGTGGTGACAGTTGAAACTGTAGAGGTTTGAGTTTCTCCGCGAACCATTTCACATGATAGGGAGAGTTGCGCATGCCCAAGATCGGACAGACTTGCAGGCCGTTCTTGTGGATTTTCGGTGGACCATAGAATCGAGGGATGTGTATGCCTACTGAAAGGAGGTTTTGGAATTCGCGATCGTTGATGAAGTCGTCTCCTGCATGGAGTCTGCGCAAGCAGTCCGTTATTTGTGCTTCTATTTCGTCTGCGGAATCTTTCTCTCTTTTGGCTTTCCTGAATTTCTTCCGATCTGAAAATATGGACTGTATTTTCGTCACATAATCCGACCTATACATTATAACCACGCCTGTTCCTTTATCCGGTCCAGTTACTAAAATGTCTCTGTTCTCTCTCAGCTGCTTTGAATTCTGTATGTGAGCTTTTGCCAGCAGTCCCGACTTTTTGTGCTTTTGTTCAGATAATGATAATTGCAATTCACTAGGGTTGATTTCAAGTGTTTTCTTATTTTCTTTTCGCTTTCAGATTCTTTAACTTGTGGGATTCGAAAACTGCCTCACGGTGATTCGCCTCCACCTCAATCTTCTAGACGCGAAGCTATTAGACATAGCTGGCCGTGGATCGTGAGCCTTGTTTTAGGGTTCATCATATTCCGTTTGTTTTTTGTCCGATATCTTGTCATAAGAATGAATTCATGTTATTTTTTTAAAATCGGCTAATAGGAGATAAAAACCGCAGCGTCAAATAGCGTATTCAGATATAGAATAATATAGTTAAGCTGAGGTCTTTTTCAAGTATTATATACCATTGGATTCTCAGATTTCCATTTCTTTTCAAATTTAAAGGTTGGTCTTTACAGCAGTTTCAGAGGGGGGTACCCGTACTGCGGTGGAACGTTGATAGCACCTGAATGGGTAGTTACTGCTGCCCATTGTGTTGAAATGGCTATGAACTGCACCTCCGCTCCAATTGGAACCCTGTTCTCATACCACGCTCTCACAAATGCCACACTGTTTGTGAGAATTGGCGACCATGATTTGACCAAGACAGACGCGTCTGAGAAGGATCGTCGTGTTGATAGCGCAATACTGCATCCTCAGTATCAATTACAAACAGACAGCAATGAAAGTGATATTGCGCTGCTGCGGTTGCAAAAACCGGTCCTGGCCGGTAATAGTCCTGACTTTTTCTTTTATGAATGCTCATTTATGTCGTGCACTTTAAACACGTATCAAGCTGCCCACACTCGACGGAGCTTTTGGACTTTGTATGAAGATAGCACATATTACTGTAACATCTTCTGCTTAGTTTATACACGCCCTTTACTCTCTACTTCTATACTTTGCATTGCAAGCATTTCCCAAGTTTCTATGCCTAGATATTCTGTAAGACGGTCTGTGTTGAATTTCTACACTGGTTGCCAAATTTTGTTTCTGCTATGATGAACTGCACTTGCAGCATTCAAGATCACACTTGGAGGGACAACACAATTGCATAACAACGAAATGGACAGTGTAACTCTGACACGGAAGTCATTTTTAAAATATGCTTTTTTACCTATTTGTACACAGCCGTTCAAAGACAGAAGGATATGTTTTGACTGGGGAACCAAAATATAATGGTATAACTATTTATATTGGACCAACGCTTTTCCATCAATGGAAAATGTCAGAGACACTAAAACGTGCTGTCTGTTTTTCTGAGGGAAACTTTTCACTCCTTTTAGATGCAGAGGTTGGTTTTGCTTGTCTTCCAACGAGCGACTCAACGTTTTCCGCAACCGATGAATGCGCATTCGCAGGTTGGGGCTCGCTTATTCGCTCACGCATTCTCGGCCACACAAATTCACCGGTTCTGACAGAGGGCAGAGTGCAGATTAAGTCGGAAGAATTTTGCCAATTGAATGCAGGACATCCCGAGTCTAAAGTAGCAGGTTGCCTTGCGACGCAAACTGCTGTAAGTTATTAACTTGACATAGTTTGAGTAACGCAGTTTGCATTTTGCAACATTCACTTCTTTTGACTATTTGAAAAAATATGCGCGTTAAGTTTCCATTCGGGGCTCCAATTCAGACACCACGCAAATGCTCATGAATTTAACATAAATTCTTAACTTCATTTGTTTCTAAGAAGTACGAAGGAGATGTTTAAGACCACTGCTTATCTTAGTCGACGGTTAGCCGAGTGTGACGTGGCTGGTAAATTTGAACTTGTGATGTTGCCTACATCAAACCTGTCAAAGATGTCAATTGCGATTAAATTCGGCCTTGTTTGAAATATTTTGAGTGCTTTCGGTCTTTTGTCTTTACTTCTTATATCTCATATTTCTCTAGAATCCCTGTTATGGCGACTCCGGAGCTGGTGTCTATTGCCTCGGGGCCCAGGGTAGGTGGATCATATATGGAATTATCAACAGAGGAGGCTTCCTTTGTGAGGGGGTGTATGCTACTAGTACAAGGATATTTCCTTATGTTGACTGGATTGAGAAAACTATCGCAACCAACATGGGCCACTAAAAGACTATTCCATGGTGAATAAAAGGTGAAGAATCACAAATTTTACTTCCTTTCTTCTGTTGCTATGCTAACGTTTTACCAAGTACATGCCACCTTGACAGAATCTGAAATGTAGACTAATGTTATCCAAACGACATGTTAGATTCCTACTAGCAGAGGACACCACCAAGGTAGCAATTACGAAGTCAGGGAGATGTCACGTCAGTCAAGTAATCGACCATTTGAGGATATCCCTTTCAGTTTTACTGATCCTCCAAACTATGCGTATTCACATGTCAATACATTTTTCGAGCCGCCTATGCATAGTTACGTATACCTCCTGTGAAAACACATTTCCCGGGTCTGTACTTCAGCAAGGGGATTAGAAGGATTGACACTTATTAAAGACACCGACGAATAGCTACAAAAAAGGCGACTGTTCAATAACATTTGTAATTGTGGAGACGGCCAAACAGAGGTCCGCACAAACAAAAATCTCGGCGTAATGAGCGAAACGTAGGCGGGGTGTATTGCATTCTCAAAGAGTAGGATGCGAGGGGGCTGAGATAAGGAGATGAAACGTATTTAGCAGTAGACAGCCTCATCTGTCGGTGTAATTTCGATCACTATCATATTTGCTATCAGCAGCATCACATGCGTAGCCGCGAAGTGCATACTGGGGCTCATTAGTCGGAAATTATACCACGAAATTCGACCGTTGTGACTGAGGATGACCACTGTGCGCTCCGCAGCAGGTGTGAAGCATGCACGATGACTTGTACCGCATTTACTTCATTTTGCCCCTCCTCCTCTTCCCCCACCTGGTGCCGGCTTAAAGACATAGTTAAGAAGACAAGAGACGAAAGGGGGCCAGGTGTTTCGCGCGGCTGGATCGCACCTACGCGCATCATCATACACCCTCGTCCACAGCAAACATTCGACCAGTATTTCAATCAACAACAACAAGAGCAAAGGCTGGCGCGACCGAAGCCGCCCCTAGGCATACCAATACATCTGGTTCAGATCTCACAGGGTGGGCGCGTCTTAGAGGCTGCAGTGAGAAAGATCCATTGAAGTCTAGCTGTCCGTCCACCAGGAAGTCTCTTAACACACAAACCCACAACTGCGCTGACTGCGAGGACTGAGTTGGGGCGTTAATTGGCAACCGTTAAAGCCACGGCACCTATCGCACTGTGATTGTCTTAGACTCGTATCACACATGCAGCAGATGAACCGCATGAAAAAGGAGCCAGAAGAAACAATTTTTAACTGTCGTGAAAAGTTCCGGTCAAAGATCTGTTTCTTGATTCGCCTTGAAAAAATACTTTCATCCCTAGCTTATTACAAATGTACTAACAATTAATTAGACCGTTATGGTTTATGAATATTTCAGGGAGCAAATTTTATCTCAGTGACTGTTGTACGGAATTACTTTATAATAAATTATGCAGGCCGCAACAAGACTACAATACCATTAGATAAGAAGACCGGAAACCAGATAAAGTGTTGAACTACTGAATCCTTTTATTAGTTCTTACTCGTCATTATGGAGCAAAAAAAGAGATTAAGAAGACCGTGGACTGGCTATCGGATGAGGAAAGCACTCATTTACTTTCCTTAACGTCGTCGATTTAAGTCTGCAAACTTAATCTGCATGTGACCTGCTGATCCGGAAGGCAGCCGAGAAGTCACTTACCTGTTTGAGACGATTATGGAGTGTAGTCTACCAACTTCGCAACATGTCTACCAATGCTTAGACGTGATTTAGCTATTATAATTAGTTTCTCAACTAATCCATGGACAAGCCAAAAAACGAATACACATGAGACGACTAATAATATGTTAATTATTAGAACTAGCTCCATATGCATGTCTCTGCATTGGTAAAAAAGAAGTCTAATGAGATATAAGCAAATAGGCATAGACTATGTCTGTATTTGGCAGGCGGAGAAGGTTTATAGAGAGTTCGACAGTGGTAAAGAGATTAACATTAAACCCACTAGAGTATTTTAGATGAATGTCCTGTTTTTACTTTGCTCAGATGTGAGCAAGGCGAATCTGTAGGGTGCGAGATGTTTCATTAAATCGTGGGGCCATTCGTCCATGAGCAGGCGCTTACAGGTGGTAGGCGTGCATAGCATCTCAGAGCTTTCTGATTTAGTTTGTACTAAATATGAAATAAAGAATATACTTCGCAGCGCCAATACATTAGCCTATACTCATACTTGAAACAAATGACAGCAGATCAGCCAATAAAAGCAATATACATCTCGTAGAGAAAACGAGGTCTTCAGTTTAATCTGTCGCTGATTTACTGGAAGTATTCTTATTTAGAAGACCAGTTGGCGGGCACACGTTTGCTTTCGACAAATTCTAGTCAGGCCAGTACATTTATGCGGGAATGGGGTAAAAGTTAAAATATGTCAGTGATAAAAGAAACTAAAGAGTCAGTTGGCGAACATATGTTTTCGGTAACTCATCATCTGGCTGATACATTTACCTGGGTAATGATCATTCTAATTGTAGACAGGATATAAACGCGTCTCGGGAGCAGGGTTAATCAGACTCATGTTCCCACGCCGCCCGCATGACGGAGTCAGCGTGTTGAGGTCGGTGGAGTTGGGGTGGGATAGGGGGGGAGGAGGGAAGTAGACGGGTTCCGGTTAGATTGTGAGCGCTGTGGGTGCGTGTGGCTGCTCTCAGGGGATCGGGACGGCGTGCGATCACCGTCTGGAGTCGGCCAGGGCAGACAGACCTCTTGTGTCAGCGTCTTCTGACAACAGTGCTGCGTTCGCTAGTCGAATAGACACTGCTTCGGCTATGACTAGCACCCGTTTGCGTAGGCCTTTAGAGTAATGTGCCGGGGCCCGGTAGATAACTTTAAAGTCTTCTTTAGCGTCGGCTTGGTTGTTCGTATCGACAAAACGTGCGAGAATTGAACTCGAAATCGATCGACGTTCACCTCTTCCTAGCCAGGCAGGCATGTGTTCGCGTATTCTCTTTTCCAGACGCCTCGTTGTACGGCCAATATAGCCCGCTCCACAGGAGCAGATGAATGAATAAATACACAT